AGATAAATGTCCTGAATGGCAGGAAGCCTCAAATGCCCTTCACAGGAAGCTCCACAAGAAGCTGTGGAGGGCATTTGGTACCTTGAACACATTTTCATGTTTTAAAAAAAAGTTTGACAAGATTTGGACTTGGTGCGTTACCCTGCTGGAAGCCGGCACCAGAAATTGGGTACGCTGTGGTCATAAAGGGGTGGACAAAAAATACTCATCTTGGCTGTGGACATTTCGCTCAGTTTTTACAAAGACCCTCCCACTATTGCAACACCAGCAGCCTTCCTCAGCCAACTGCTGATAAAGGCAGCATGGATCCACCATGTTATATCCACCATTTGGATATAACAGCAATAGAGACTCATCAGGAAACATTTCACCAATCTTTGGATGCCCAGCTGTGGTGAGCCAGTACTAACTGTTGCCTCAGTTTCCTGTTCTTAGTTAACAGGAGTGAAAACTGGTGTGATCTGTAGCCCATCTACTTCAAAGTTTGACATATCATGTGCTCAGAGATGCTCTTCTGCATAACTCAGCTGTAATCAACGGTTATTTGAGTTACTGTTTCCGTCCCATCAGCTTATAGCAATGTGGCTATTCACCTCAGACCTGTGGGACACAGCTTTCTTAATTTCACACACTAAGTTTATGAAATTTGTTTTTGTTTTTCAAATGCATTACCAAAAAAAAACAAACAAACAACATACAAAAACCATAAAAACAAAAAAGTTTGAGGTGGTAACCAGAGTGTCAATAGTGGGACAATATGTGTGATTGTGTAAAGAGACTTATGTCACTGACATCACCAGGGTTTCTAATGAAACAGTTTTTAATTCAGTTATCAAACAAAGCTTAATGGGAGCATTATACACAGCAAGAGGAGGTGTGTTTGACTCTTGCAACTGTGGTTTTACACTCTACATTTAACACCTGAAACGTGTTGCTAAGGTTTAGCTATTGTGCTCTGAAAACATTCACATTCTCACCAGAACCCGTGCACCATAAAAATCATCGTTATCATTAAATCCTCACAGTGAAGGACAGAAAAAAAATCTCTTGTGTTTATACTAATCACTATAAGGCAGGGTTACTAATCTTATCTCATATATTTAGGTATCTGAAACACCTGGAAAGTGCTAAGATATTATTATTGGTCACTACTTTTACTCTGCAGAAAGAATTATGATGAGGACACTGAAGCAGGATCAGTTTCCCTCAGGAGAAGTTTGTCATGTTATAGGCAGCAACTCTCTCAACCACAGGGTGGCACTGCTTGTTGTAAAAATAACAAACACACCAGTGAGGTGGCAGGCTGAATTCAATCTATGACTATGATGTTTAAGCAGATCCTTTTAGACATTATCGCTGACATTATCAGTTAGAGCCTGAAAGGTCCTGATAACGTTTAGTTATTTAGCTCTCAAAACATTCACATTTTTACCAGAACACGTGCAACACAGCAAAAGCAGAAAGTCAGGAAGTCACTACACAAGAACAGTTTGTTCAAAATCACACAGTCCTGAGATGAAATGTCATCAGTCAGCTGCTAATGAATATTTATACATGTCTGTTAATAGAAAACATATTAATGTTAATAATAATTCTCTATTGAGTCACGTGACAGTGAACTATTGATTATGACATATCTAAATGTCTTCCATAAAAATGACCTGCTGTTGTTAATTGTTCTACTTCACAGTCATAAAGCAGAACAATCACAGTTGTGTCACAAACTGAGCAATGCAAGAAAATCATTGCAGGTCCAGTTTTTATCTGGTGGGTAAAGACTGATTAACAATGCAGATGCAGTGTTAGTAGTTGAAAAATGCTCCTTTACTCAGGTGCAGCTTATATTTTCCATTTATGACATGAGTGACTAAATTACAAGAGAAAATTAATTGCAATATAATTGTGTTAAGTTTCTGGAAGAAATATACTTCAGTTGTGACAATTCTGAATCATTGCATACATTACTTAAATGTAAATTATCGCTTCAACAAATGGTGATACATTCACATACATTAGTTCAGAGCTCAACTCTACAGCAAGTAACCACTTCCTTTTTTTGCGGCTCCTCCTCAGATACTCTGTGGTCGTCTTTAACGATCACTATAGTTTAAAGGAGACAATCATTCAATATAAAATTCTATCTGCACTTCATCTGTAAAAAAGTGAATCTCAAACACAAATGTGCTCTTTACCTGCAAAGACATCCCACACCACTAACAGCTGAATGAAGAGCAGTGCTGCTCGGTTTATAGTGAACATCGTGATCATCAGACAGAGAGAGAAACAGACCTGAACTTCACCGTCAGCTTTATGTGTATCTGAGGAGGAGCCGCAAAAAAAGGAAGTGGTTACTTGCTGTAGAGTTGAGCTCTGAACTAATGTATGTGAATGTATCACCATTTGTTGAAGCGATAATTTACATTTAAGTAATGTATGCAATGATTCAGAATTGTCACAACTGAAGTATATTTCTTCCAGAAACTTAACACAATTATATTGCAATTAATTTTCTCTTGTAATTTAGTCACTCATGTCATAAATGGAAAATATAAGCTGCACCTGAGTAAAGGAGCATTTTTCAACTACTAACACTGCATCTGCATTGTTAATCAGTCTTTACCCACCAGATAAAAACTGGACCTGCAATGATTTTCTTGCATTGCTCAGTTTGTGACACAACTGTGATTGTTCTGCTTTATGACTGTGAAGTAGAACAATTAACAACAGCAGGTCATTTTTATGGAAGACATTTAGATATGTCATAATCAATAGTTCACTGTTACGTGACTCAATAGAGAATTATTATTAACATTAATATGTTTTCTATTAACAGACATGTATAAATATTCATTAGCAGCTGACTGATGACATTTCATCTCAGGACTGTGTGATTTTGAACAAACTGTTCTTGTGTAGTGACTTCCTGACTTTCTGCTTTTGCTGTGTTGCACGTGTTCTGGTAAAAATGTGAATGTTTTGAGAGCTAAATAACTAAACGTTATCAGGACCTTTCAGGCTCTAACTGATAATGTCAGCGATAATGTCTAAAAGGATCTGCTTAAACATCATAGTCATAGATTGAATTCAGCCTGCCACCTCACTGGTGTGTTTGTTATTTTTACAACAAGCAGTGCCACCCTGTGGTTGAGAGAGTTGCTGCCTATAACATGACAAACTTCTCCTGAGGGAAACTGATCCTGCTTCAGTGTCCTCATCATAATTCTTTCTGCAGAGTAAAAGTAGTGACCAATAATAATATCTTAGCACTTTCCAGGTGTTTCAGATACCTAAATATATGAGATAAGATTAGTAACCCTGCCTTATAGTGATTAGTATAAACACAAGAGATTTTTTTCTGTCCTTCACTGTGAGGATTTGATGATAACGATGATTTTTATGGTGCACGGGTTCTGGTGAGAATGTGAATGTTTTCAGAGCACAATAGCTAAACCTTAGCAACACCTTTCAGGTGTTAAATGTAGAGTGTAAAACCACAGTTGCAAGAGTCAAACACACCTCCTCTTGCTGTGTATAATGCTCCCATTAAGCTTTGTTTGATAACTGAATTAAAAACTGTTTCATTAGAAACCCTGGTGATGTCAGTGACATAAGTCTCTTTACACAATCACACATATTGTCCCACTATTGACACTCTGGTTACCACCTCAAACTTTTTTGTTTTTATGGTTTTTGTATGTTGTTTGTTTGTTTTTTTTTGGTAATGCATTTGAAAAACAAAAACAAATTTCATAAACTTAGTGTGTGAAATTAAGAAAGCTGTGTCCCACAGGTCTGAGGTGAATAGCCACATTGCTATAAGCTGATGGGACGGAAACAGTAACTCGAATAACCGTTGATTACAGCTGAGTTATGCAGAAGAGCATGTCAAACTTTGAAGTAGATGGGCTACAGATCACACCAGTTTTCACTCCTGTTAACTAAGAACAGGAAACTGAGGCAACAGTTAGTACTGGCTCACCACAGCTGGGCATCCAAAGATTGGTGAAATGTTTCCTGATGAGTCTCTATTGCTGTTATATCCAAATGGTGGATATAACATGGTGGATCCATGCTGCCTTTATCAGCAGTTGGCTGAGGAAGGGCCTGCTGG